TCAAGCTGGGTCATGGGGATAATAAAACGAGGTTACACACTCCAATTCGCTCGAAGACCCTCCACCTCGGTTCAGAGTGAGGATGCACATGTCTTACGTGCCGAGGTGATGAATTTGCTGGCAAAAAGAAGCCGTAGAAATGGTTCCCTCAGCCGAGAGTGAGTCAGGCTTCTACATCCGTTACTTACTCGTCCCCAAGAAAGATGGCGGCCTAAGGCCCATTCTCGATCTCAGGTGTCTGAATCACGCCCTCATGAGATGGCCGTTCAGGATGATTACATTTAAACAGATCCTCTCCAAAGTATGCCCAGTGGACTGGTTCTTTTCGCTGGACCTGAAAGACGCTTACTTTCACATCCAGATAGCCCCCTGTCACAGACGATTCTTGAGATTCGCCTTTGAGGGAGTGGCTTATCAATACACGATCCTTCCCTTTGGACTGTCCCTAGGTCCTCGCACTTTTACGAAGTGCATGGATGTGGCTCTTTCCCCGCTGAGACAGACAGGAATTTGCATTCTGAATTACCTCAACGACTGGCTCATTCTGGCCCAGTCGGAGGACAAGCTACTATCTCATAGATTCCTCCTCCTCAGCCACTTAGAATGCCTGGGACTCAGGGTCAATTTTACCAAGAGCGCGCTGTCCCCCATCCAATGGATATCATTCCTGAGAACAGTTTTAGACTCAGCCCAAATGAGGGTGATAGCCACGCCAGAACGTGCGCTGGCCATTCAGCAGCTCACAGCCTCATTCAGAGTTGGAGCCTCTCGCCCTCTCAAGGTGTTTCAGAGGATGCTAAGCCTCATGGCCTCTGTGTCTCCAGTACTACAGTTGGGCTTGCTCCGCATGCGGCCCCTTCAGTACTGGCTGAATCTACGAGTTCCATCCCACGCCTGGCGTCTCGGACGCCTTCGCGTCAAGGTAAAACAGCCCTGGCCCCTTGGAAAGATCCTCGTTGGCTGGAATGGGGTGTGCCCCTGGGAATGGTCTGCAGAAGGAAGGTGGTCTCGACAGACGCCTCCAACATGGGTTGGGGAGCGCTGTGCGATGGCAAGCCAGCTTTCGGCCACTGGTCGAAAGAGGAAGGCCGGCTTCACATCAACTGCCTGGAAATGCTGGCAGTGTGTCTGGGCCTTCGAAACTTTCTGCCAGACGTAAGGGGACACCATGTCTTAGTCCGCTCGGACAGCATGACGGTAGTGTCCTATATAAATCACCAGGGCGGTCTCTCCTCGAAGCGCCTCTTCGCACTACTGGAGCGCCTCTTGGAATGAGCTCAGCTCAACTTGCGCTCAACCTCCTCCTTTACACTTTTCCCCTGATCGTTCTGATTCCACAGGTGATCAGGCGAGTCAGGGAACAGAGACGCAAGGTGCTGTTGGTGGCCCGGCTCTGGAGGAACCAGCACTGGTTTGCAGAGCTGTGCCGGCTGCTCTCGGCAGCCCCGTGGCCCATTCCCCCGAGACGGGACGTCCTCTCTCAGGCGAACAGAGCGATATGGCACCCCCAGCCCGAGCTGTGGGCTCTGCACCTTTGGCCTCTCGATGGGAGCTTGCGAACCTCCCCGAGAATGTGCTAAACACAATCTATTAGGCTAGAGCACCGTTTAAAAGACGCCTCTACGCCCTTAAATGGTCTGTCTTCTCCACCTGGTGTACAGCCCCGTGGTGCGGACCTCATGCGACATATCTCTGATATTGTCCTTCCTACAAGAGCTGTTGGATAAGGGCCGCTCCCCTTCCACAATCAAGGTCTATGTAGCAGCCATAGCAGCCTCTCATGCTCCTATAGCTGGCCAATCGGTGGGCAGGAACAACTTGGTTGTTCATTTTCTGATGGGGTCTAGACCGGCTGGGCCTCGCCGTCCACATTTGCCAGATTCTATAGTCTGGACATCCCGGCCTTACAGGTGCGGGTCCTTTCTGCATAGCAGAGCACTCTGTCATATGACAACCAGTGCTTGGCGTTTGCTTCCTTCATGTACGCTCTTGGCCCTCAGTGAGTTCCGAGGCTGTACTGAATTATTTCGGGACGATGATACAAGGCTGGGCCGATCTCTCTGAGTTTAGCCCTACTGCTTTTTGCGGGGCTTCCCTGCAAAATACTTGGTCCCTCTGGGCCCCCTTGTGTGCTTAAGGCAAGTTCAAGTATTAGTCGTTCCTCTAGCATAGCATGGCGGGATTGTACTGGTTCCCCAAGCATCTTAAACAGACGCAATACGAGTGAAGTATCGATAGGGAATGAACTCGGTTACTAATATAAGCTCGGTTCCCTGAGATGCGGAATGAGTACTGCAGACTTTGCCGTGCTATGTGGCTGCACGACTTCGTTGCTTCAGTCGAAGTAACCTGAGGATCCTATGGCGATGTGCCGCTTATATAGCCAGATGACTCCGCCCATTCTGTCGGGCTTTGGCGGGCTTTACCACCATAGGCTCGTGCAGCTCCGCTGTCGAGCCATTGGTTAGTTTTTTATTCACTGCACGAACCAATGACCGTGCAGTTACACTGCGTTATTGAAAGGCTTCAGTCATCGGAGAAAAAGGAGTTTTCCCCAAGCGTCTTAAACAGACGCAGTATTCGTTCCGTATCTCAGGGAACCGAGGTTACGTTAGTAGCCGAGTATGTTTTCTGACTTGTCATTTTGTTTTTAGACTTTTTAGATCATTGTGTTTATAATTTGTTGTTTTGTTCTTGCCTGTGTTTGGACATACAAATATCTCTCTTTACATTTACAGCTTCCTTGCAACGTCTGTGCACTTTCTGATGTGAGAACCATATTAAAGTTTACTCCCATATTGAGCACCACCCACATACAAATTACATGTTGACTTTGAAAATGAAATAACAGATAAAATACTGCATACTACTGTATACTTTACTAGTATAAATTGAACAAACAAACAAACAAAAAATATTTCAATTAAAAAAAATTATTATAATAATTACAGTGGGGCAAAAAAGTATTTAGTCAGCCACCAATTGTGCAAGTTCTCCCTCCTAATGTATTGGGAAATGACCATAAATTAATTCATAAGGTACTTAATGCCCCTGCCTTTTTAAGTGTTAAAATGAAAATTGAATTTTAAGTTTTGCATCTATTTTTCACAAACTCGTAAACTAGATGTTCGTTTTTTTTTTGTTTTTTATCATTTTATCTATGTATTTAATATTGGCTTACATCCCATACCCTGAGCTCTTTACCTGATATACTAGTTGATCCATTTCTATCAGCCCAATAATCTTGGCAGTAGAGTTAGTCACGTTTATACTGATGAGCTCCCACTCTCCCTGAGAGTGAAAGGTCTTCTTTGACTCAATGGTCACCCATGCTGCATTACTAAATTTAATCATTGTAATCTCCTGACCTGTGTGAATAGACATTAAAATTGTATTTTATATTGAAGTCAAATACTTTAGAAGAATAAACCATGTTATCCTGTGTTTCTTTGTTAAAACTTATTCAGATGTACTTGAATATGCTGTAGATTGCAGTGTTATATTGCAGGTGTGGCTGTCGAACGGAAACCTGTAGAGATCCATCCTACAAGCCGTGGTCAGAGCTAAAATGTCAGATGAGGCTATATAGCCAAAATGGATCAACCTCACATATGGAGACTCCTTTGTTCCAAAATCTGTCTTGATGCTAAATGGATAAAATATAATTTAACTGATTAACAAAGACATGATGATTGGAGACAGCATGTATATAAATCAAATCAAAAGTAAGTTGCAAGATCATGTAATATCAGGCCATCCAATCCTGTTCCTGGAAGGTCACCATCCTACAGAGTTTAGCTGCAGTTGCAATTAAATACATCTGAACCATCCTCCTTCAAGGAGGGTGGTTTCATATGTAACTACATTTCCCTTTTTGCTTGTATGTCCTACAAAGGTTGTTTTGTTTAATTCTACTGTAGGCCTACTGTAGGTTGAGGACACTCTTCAGGATTACTAGAAAGGTGTTTTGATGCAGGCTGCAGAAAATGGGCGTTGGTCCTCCAGGAGAAGGATAGGACATCTCTGAGTTACGCTATTAAATTTATTCTGGTGTTCACCTGGAATTAATAGAAAGGTAAAAATTAAGATTTTTGTTGGTGTCATAGGTAGTGCATATGCTCCATTGTGTTGAGACTATGGCAAGCCAAATTAGCTTTTAATATTCCCAGCATTAGTCGTCATAATAGCATTTTTACTAACAAATCTGATTACAGAGCTCTAATTCACAGCAAAATCCCCAGTGATTAATAAGCATTGCTCAGTGTTCATATACAGGTATGTCCACCCTACAGAGTATTACAGTAACACTGAAGCAGTGCTGAAGTTAATGAGGTATACAGTAAGTGCTGATTGAGTATTAGTGATGGAACACCTGCTGTTAACAAGCAGATGCACTGAAGGAAAGAGAAACAACAAGAGAAACACAAGAGCTGTCTGTGACTTTCAGCCACAGCCCTAGACGAGATCAACTGAAAAAAAAAAGACAACAAATCTCTAAAGTAGTGCCAGCATTTCACGTAACAATAGGGTATGGCAGTGGAGTGAATCGCAGCCCAGCTTCACTTACTAACCAGACTGACTTAATTTTTTTCATACGTGTACAAAAGTTCTTATTGATAATTAACCGGTTCTTATTGATAATTAACCGAGGTTTAGGTGTTGATGTTTGGATGAAAATGTTTCATTATCACCATCATGGTGATGTGTTAAGTTTAGTGCTTTGACTTTTGTTAACTAATTTCTTTTTCAGTAATTGCACAAATGTGTTCATTATTGCACTGACAGTCTATTTATTGTTTGTTAATGATTGTTCTAATTATACTGTATTTTCGTTTGTTGTATGCGATTTTCTATGGAGTATCAATTTGACAATTTCATGTTAATTAAATGTTTAAATAGTAAATGAATGATTGTTTTAATCTGTCATATATATAGGGGTTAAACAGATCGCAGTTGATCTGTGATCGTATGGAGGCACCACAGTTCAGCACGCATGTGATTCGTGCACATTATCGCAGATCGGAGATGAGACCCTGGTTGGTTTATTGCACGTTATGCCCAAAAAACACCCATAACAGACAACCCGTTTAGACCATGCGCTCGGGCGCGCAGACCGTCTTCCTGTCGTTAAACAAGCAAAAGTGGATTTGGATTCATCCTAAGTGCACCTGCGCCTTGCGCTTTAGACCGTGAGTTTAGATCATTAAAAGAGGGCCCTTGTAATACTAAAGAGATCTTCCAAAAATGCTACAATCTCAAAAGTTGAGATACACTTAGACATCAACACTCATCAGACAAACCTCAACAATGGTGACAAAGAATATTACAATATAAATAGTGAAGGAATCCAGCTGCATAAGTAATTAATGCCGCAATGCATGCTGGAAGCCACAAATGAGTTGTGTGTGCTGCCATGAAGCATGTCACCATTGTTGTGTTTCATATACTGAATGTTTATGTCTGTGATTGTCTAAAGGACACCCTAGAAAATCACTTCATGCTCACAATATGTTTTCATAATAATAATGATGATATAAAAAAATAAACCTTTCTGATCAGTGCATCAAACCACTTTATCACCTGATGTTTTTCTGTCTTGAACACACTAACACAGCACCCAGAAAATAGAAATAAAGCAATAAAGGGTCTAGTGCCCAAATACAGAAATCACCAGTAGCGTTTCCTGACCGTAAATATAGGTGGGGCAGATTTTAGGTTGTAGTGCTAGTTAATCATAAACTCAAGAAAGCTTACAGTCTTTATAGTGTAATCGCTGAACACATGCACACACACTTTTGGCACAGATGTAATGTCCTTGTGTTATTCAGCCTGTGGGCGGCACGCTAATGTTGGCTGACGTTGGCTGGCTCAAAGTACACACACACAGAATGCTATAGAATTATTGCCTAAATATAGTCTTCGAATGTTGACTTAGAATGTTACAAGTTGTAGAGGAATTTAAACGAATATCATGTCTCATAATAATAATAATAATACGCTTATTTTAAATAGTGCCTTTTCTACAAACTCAACCACGGAGGCATATATACATTGAATGTAGAGAGCACAAAAAACACAACCAGATCAGGAGACAGGGAAATTAGAATAACATAAAGTGAAAAGATAGGTTTTCCAGAGGGCTTTTAAATCCTGTAATGATGCGAGGTTGTGAATATGCTGAGGAAGAGCGTTGCAGAGTGTGGGGGCAGAGATAAAGAAGGCCCTACCACAAATGATGATAGTTTGTGCCGAGGGACTAGTAATAGGCCAGATTCAGATGACCTTTAAAAAGTGCACGGGAAGGGGTGTAGGTGTGTAAAGATCAGAGATGTATTGAGGGGTGAGACCATGGAGATCTTTGAATGTAATGAGGATTATTTTATATTGAATACGAAAACAAATAGGTAGCCAGTGTAGTCTGTACAAAACAGGAGTACCGTACGAAAATGTCTTGGTATGTGTGAGGACCCTAGCTGCTGAGTACTGAATATATTGAAGCTTATTTAAAATTTCAATATACGCATCTCAAAACAAACCGAAAACAAACACAACAGAACTATATAATGGCTTTTCATGTGAGCATATTTAAACGAAAGGATTAACACATAGGAAAAACAGACATGCCAGCTAGTTACTGACCTGATGCAGACATACAGTACAGCTGAATCTGACTGATATCGTCTTGGTCTGGAGCGAGATAAGGTAACATGAAAATAAGCGGGACAGTCTCAAAACTGCCTAAATTGTTTTAAATTATAGTGTGCTGCAGTTCCACTTTTCACTACAGATTTACATTGTAAAAAGTTAAGGTGGGCACTGGCACTTCTGCAACCATTTCATTTTATGTGCCTGCTGAAGCTTACAATGAATTTTAATATATCCTGCGCACTTCATGACTTAAAATTGTTTAAAAAATCTGAAAAATATTTGTTGCAGAATGCTGAACACATTTACAGTTTATTATTTATTCAATTCATACAGAGTTCTATGTTTTGGGTGAACTTTTTGTGGGGCTTACAGACAAGCCGTGCCTGGCAAACACTGATCACCACAATGGTGACTTAAAATGTTTGTTACTCTTTTCTTCAGTGCTTCAATATTATTTCAACACTCTGTAGTGTGGAAACATGAACACTGAGCAGTGTTCATTAAACACAAGGGGATTCTACTGCTCGACGTCCAACCTTAAGCCATTTTTGAGCCAGAAACTTAGTGATCCTTAATATTTTAAGGACATTCAATGAATGTTTTCTGTCACATTATGAGAAAATTCATATACTAGTATATTTAAATACTAATGACAATATGTGGTAATTTCATGAACATGTGTTTTATTCTAACACTTGCATAAGCTTTACATAAATTGAAGAGAGAGCTTAGGAACAATAACTATGGGATAGGCTATAAAACCTTACCACGTTCCAAGGATGTTCTTTTAAAACAGCACACAACCTTATTCAGTTGTCATTTTAAATGTTTAAAGAATGTTCCAGAAATGTTCTAAGAACATTTTCTCCCAACATGTTAAGGACATTTTAAAAACCTTCAACAAACAATGTATAAATACATAACTAAATACAGCTAACCTTTAGAGAACATGATTAAATATACTGGATGAACATTTGTTCATAACTTTGAGAGAACCTTGCAAGAACGTTCGCCAGAATGTTCAAACATTAGCTAAAGTTATAAGAATGTTCCCTGGTAGCTGGGCAATGCTACTTTTGATATTGTCAGCTGTTAGGTTAACTGTGAAAATATTAATTGGAAAGTCTATGAAGGTGCCTCATTTCTATTTCTATGTGTAAAGTATATCTTCATAAAATGTGTTATTTTTGAGGCCGATCTGGCTCCATATGCAACCATCTATAGTATTACTTGATTTGGTACTTCTTTTTTATCTGAGTGTATACAAGATGATAAACAACGGTAATAGTAAAAACCTCATTTATAATGGTACAAACGTGGTAAGTTTCTAAATTTTAAATATGTGTTCACGTTAGTTAAAGTAAAAGCTAAATGTTATTCCATACAATGAGCTACTGTTAATTTCTACGTTTACTAATACATTTTTAGCATTAAAAAAGAAAGCATATTATTAATAGGTATTTATGAACAATATTTATAAATTAACATTATATTAATAAATGCTATAAAAATGTTGTTCATTGTTGTCATTTGTGATGCCCAATGCATTATCTATTATTAACAAATTGAACCTTATTGTAAAGTATTATCATTAAAAAAATATTCACTTACCCATTGAGGCAAGAAAAAACATTAACCAGTGCAGATACATGATCAACAGTGAAACACTTCTGCTGTAGGATTAGGATTCTCTCTTCATTTGGTCATATTTATACACTGTGAGTGATCAACACCCCCCCCCCCCCCCCCCACCACGGGGGTGGCGAGAGAAAAGAACTGGCAGCTGACAGCGGAGCTACACGAGGAGCAGCAGACTAAAGAGAGAAGTGCTAACACAAACCAGCTGCTGCTCTCCCTGGCTGGAGAGAGGACAGAGATCCTGGAAAGGGATAACACCGTCAGCCAGGTAACGGACACCGGCTGACCCACAGCTGCAGACAAGCCCACCACGTGTAGAGTTACGCCAAACTATCAGCGCTCAGAGCACACGCTACTGTATTCCCCCCTCAAGTGGAGCTGGAATAATTGCTGAGCTTAAAACAAATGTGGATCACTTCCCCTATAAACCATAATGAGCAGCCTAAAGCAAGTCATCAGTGGTGTGGTCCAAAAAAAAAAAAAGACCCAGTCCCAAGCAACTCCAATACTTCACCCTAAAATTGGCTGACAGATTATTTTTCAAGTATTGCATGGCTTATGAAGTTTTGTTGATTGCATTACAGTTCTAAGAAGTAATGCAGAAGAAAGTCTAAAAGTAACTAAGTAAATATTTCCATATAATATTTTATTAAATTTGCTTTGGCTTTAGTACAATGGCAATATAAAAGTCTATTATTTATGTTAAAAAAAAAAACAACAATTAATTTTTATACC